CAGTCAGATTGGAGCTTCTGATTTTCACAAACCTCTTGCCCTTTGGTTTGCAATATATAGGCATGTTGTAAGAGACTGAGACGATCTTGTGATTCTGCAATGACTGACTAAAGGAGAGGAAAGCTCTTCACTCAGAATGCATGAATTGAGCCATTTCTCTGTCAAAGCGAGAATCATCTAGATGAAATGATTGAGACAAGACTGTGACAGCTGGAACTCATTCACAGACATCCCTATCACACAACATTAATCATTAAAGACACAGATAAATGAAAGGAATGAATAAAGAAAGAGTCAATTACTTTGTCAGGGCCCAAAATGAAGAGCTGTGGAGTCAGCGAGGTCGCTATGCTCTCCTGTATCCTGTATCCCAGCTCTCCAGTCCTCCCATTTGATTGCGTTTTAAGAGGAAATCACTGTTCGAGTCTCATCCTGCCACGCCAGACAGCGGCTCTCCATTTCTCCTGCCTTTAATACTCTGGAGGAGTGCTTGCCCTTTGGCCAGGAGGAGTGCAGTGCACACAATTGAGCACAGAAAAGACTTAGCAATTCTTTGAGAGAGAGAGCGAGAGAGAGAGAGAGAGCGCATCCAGAAACCCCTGCTTTCAACTTTTGCCACTCTGGTTGTTTCTCATTCTGTTGTTGCTTCTGGTTTGCGTTTGCCGCTTTTGCACAGTAAGTGCGTATTAAGTAATGATTCTTCTTTAGAGCCAGACTGTCTGGCGGGTTGAGGGATCAGAGTTTCCTGTTCATAGAAATGCTCTCAATGTGTTTGTGGGCATGACTGTGCTCTTTAACATGCTCACTTCAGCCCACGACATCTGCTCTGCTCCACATGCTGAGCCACTACTAAACACACAAAAATGAAATTCGATTATCATTTACTCTCCCTCATGCCTTCCAAACCTGTATGACTTTCTTTCTTCTGTGGAAAAGAAGGTATTTCAAAGAATCTCAGTGGTTTTTTTTTTTTTTTTTTTTTCATACAATGGGGTCCAAAACAAATTGACTGAAAATAGTGGTGAACCAATATATCAGCTGATATTTGTAATTTTTTTTACAATATATATATTTTTAATTATTATTGTAAATTTGACAGAACTTTTAAATAAAGTTAGTAAAGGGTATATGAAAAAGTATTATAGCATATTGTTAGTAACAGAATGGCAAACGCCTTCTCATGCACTGTCTACATTCAGCTAATACACATTTCATTTAAACAAGTCTTTGAATATTCAATAAACGTTTAATTTCACTATTCTGTGTTTAACGATCGGTCTGTGTGAATTAGCAGACAGACATGGACTATAATAGAATTACAGAATCAAGTAGTTGCCATCTGAATATATTTTTATTTTGCAGATTTTATTTTTTATATTTATTTATTTTATATATTTATTTTCCTAATTAATCCTTTTCAAATTATATAATTTAGTAAATATTATGTACAATAATTAAATTTAATTTTAATCAGTTAATCGTTTATTTATAAAGCACATTCAAAAACTGTAAAAGCATACCAATGTGCTGTACAAACATAGAAACTAGGGCTGCCACTAACGACTATTTTTATTCCGATGAATCGATCGACTAATTTACCGATTAATCGATTAATCTAAATGATTAATTTCCCACAAAAAATCAACAATTTTACTTAAGAATATTTTATTAAACTATATTTTATTAAACCAAATGAAATCCAAATTTCTATGAAATCCTTTTTTTAAAGCAAAAGTAAAGTGCAACATAGAGTGCAAGAAGCAAGTGTCCATCTCATAGTCCAAATCACTGAAATCCAAGTTCAGTATTATAGTGTAAGAATGACAACATGTCCACGTGTTCTAGTCTACTAATAATACAATTATAATCAAAAAACACTTTTTAAAGGAGTATTTACCAGAAATGTTATTTACCAGAATTTATTTAGGAGAAAAATGTAAATGTGCAGTATTTCTGAAAAAAAAAAGAAAAAAAAAAACTTTTTTTTTTTTATATAAAATCAATTAATTGAATATGCTTTTGATTATTAAAATTTCAATTTAATGGAACCATTAAAATGGAATCCAGAAAATAATGGAAAACAGAATTTGGGAAAGATAAAACTGTAAAATTCAATTAATTAGACAGGCTTTTTGATTAATAAAATTTAATTCAACTATTAAAACAGAGTATAGAAAAATGAAAATGGAAAAAAAATGAATTTGGAAATAAAACGGATTTCATAGGGCCCTATAATTATAATTAATTGTTTTGTGGTAATAAAAAATTTAGTTCAAATAAAGTATCAAAAGCAAGAAATCATATGATTTTATTGAACAAAACTTTATAAACAATAGAGCTAACCTACATTACGCATTACAACAAAGGCCTGCAGAGGGCGCCAACGGCCTGATGATTATTTTTACACATTGCTGTGCGATCTAATACTTGTTTAATATTGACCAAGCACCATTTAATTCAAATGTCCACTTAATCTTTAATATTTGGCCATTTCTTTAGGACAGAAATGCTATAGCCACTGTAATTAAAAGAATATGTGGACATCAAAACGTGTAAACGCAGAGTGAGGGTTTGAGCTTTTATTTTGAAACCGCGATGTATTCTCCTGTGTTTGCGTAGATTTATAAATGATTTACCTTACAAACCTGATGAAATGGCGCACGTTGCGTTCCCAGATGGACGTTATAATAAACCCAAACTCACAACAACATGCAGAGATGGAGTTTGAGACTCTCCACATGTAAATTATAACAGTTCCTGTGGAACTACTGTGAACGGAGCCGCTGTGTAACGCATGTACTTAACCTACACGCATGTAAATAATTAAAACGCATATACTGTATTAGAACTGCATTGCATATAATTAAATCGTAGCGTTTCACAATTATGCTTAATTATGCATTATAGTATTATAATTATATTAATTATATTAATATATCATGCAGCCTTGGGAAACAGTCTAATAATGTGTTTTATGGATTCTCGTCCGTGAAATGCGCCACTTCCGGTATTTTGCCTGTTAGTCGACGCAGCAAAATGAAGTCGAGGATTTTAAAAAATCGAATAGTCTAATAAAATCGACGAATCGCGACAGCCCTAATAGAAACACATTAAAAAACATAAGTAATGTAATATAGGTATTAAAAAGAACATCATAAAAATATATACATGCATGTTTAAAGCTGTAAAGCTTATCATATGTACTCGTATATGAAGTAGGTCTTAGGATGTAAAGTGTTATGCAGTTTTTAACTTTATCTTTAAAATAAATAGTGTGATATCATATATATCGTCTTTATATTGGCCAGCTCTCTAATACATCATCTGCCATCAAAAAAATCCATATTGGTTGACCACTAGATAAAACCCAATGATTAATTTTGTCCTGTTTTGATATTTTTTTTCTTCTTATGGGGTCTTCTTTTTGATTCCATATTTTGTGGCTTTGCGTAAAACCATGGCACACCTCCATTCAACTATATCCATCATTAAATATGGCCCAAAATAAAATATAAAAGTGGTTATCAGCTTGATGGTTGTTGGGTCCATTTCACTTGCAGAACCAGTATGACCTCTTGTGACCTCTGTCATTTATATTTGCCATTCACCTTCCAGTTTCTTTCTAACCCAGAATTGAAGGTCTGAAGATCATACTCTCTGCAGAAAGAGGTGCGGTTTAAGCCGCCAGGAGTGGGTTATCCAGTGGACATGCATGATTTAGCTTTAACTCTGGAGGCCTGAGGTCAACAGCTTATATTTTCAGAGGGGCAGCAGAGAAGAGGGCTTTTCATCAGCGAATCTCCAGCCAATACATTTCTGTTCAGAGAGGAAACCGAGAGGGAGGGAGGGTTAGAAACTGTATTATCAAGGTCACAACTTCATCAGGAAACAGGCGTCAGCATCGCCGTCTCCAGCTAAAGTTTATAGACTGTAATTTTTACGAGTGTCATCCAGCCTTCCAAATAAAGATGTGCCTTCTAACCTGTGGGTTTTTTCCCCCTCCTTGGCTGCAGGTTTTGAATTATGGTCTTTGCTTGTAAAACAATGTCCTTTAGCTATGGCTGTCGGCCACAAGTTGCTGCTCTCAGCCAAAGGAAGCGAAATGTTTAGACCTTTTGTAGTTCGTAATCTTCATCCCTTATTTACGTTGTTGTTGTTGTCTTGGCAGTCTTTTGCTTGGCAGAGACCGTTTTACTTCATCAGCACTTGGGAGATGTTCATGTTTTGTTAACGAAGTAAACATTCAGATTTTAAGAGGTAGAGTTATTGTGGTATGTGGTTTGGCATTAATTGAGATAATTAGAGGTGTTTGTGTTAGTACTGTTGTGCATACTAAGTATTAAACTTTGGCGTGAAACAAGACTCACGTCATTTGTGCTTGTCATGAATGATACCTCAAATGATACAGCTTGAGTGCTGTCAGACTGGAGTGCTAAACGGGTGGAAAGAGTTGACTGTACCTGAACTAATGTACTCGAATGATAATATTGTGTGTGTGTGTGTGTGTAATGTATATGTAATTTAAACTTATGTTCGATGAGTAAAGCAATGAATTGACATTACAAAAAGTAGCTTTAGAAAGAAATATTTTGATTCAACACTGCATAAATAATGATAATAAATGGGTATTAATGGGTTAAATTAATATTAAAATATGGAAACAAATTAAATTCTACTCTCAATATGAAATTAAAACTGCCAGTAGGTGGTGGCAAGTCACTGTCTTGACGAGTGAGTCATTCAGTCATTCATCAACCGATTCATTCAAATGGCTGATTCATTCCGAAAAAGCATGTGACTCTCTTTATGAATGGGTCACTGAATCTTTGGCTCACTCGATTCGTTAAAAAACACTGATTCATTCAGTAGCGGTTTCGGTAACACTTTAGTACAGGTACCAACTGTCACTATTAACTAGTTGCTTGTTAGCATGCATACAGGTATTACTAGCATATTGGCTATTTATTAGTACTTATAAAGCACATATTCTGCATGACCATATTCTACATCCCTAATCCTACCCAATACCTAAACTTAACAAATACCTTACTAAGCAGTAATTATGAGTTTGAGGCAAAAGTCATAGTTAATAGTTAGCGTGAATTGGACCTTAAAATAAAGTGTAACCATATTTCTTGTAGATGCACAACAGTTTTGCTGTGGCTTTGTTTGGAACTATTTTCGTTTGCAAAACTGATCAAAACAGACAATATTGCATCTAAAAATGAACAATTAACTTTTTGATCATTCGGCTTTTGTATAAAATCAGTATCGCCGTCTGAGGGGCCGTTTACACGACAATGTTTTCAGCCAAAAACAGGAAACTTTTTATGCGTTTTGCCTGTTCGTTTACACTGAAAACGCATATTTTTGAAAACGGGTTTCAAAGTGCAAGTTTTTGAAAACGCCACCGTTATCGTTTCCGTGTAAACACCCAAAACGGGAATCTTTGAAAACGGTGACGTCATGCGCGTGCATAGTACGTGTTAGGTATGTAGACATACACAGTATGTGTCGATTTTAAAGGTAAGCGCGAACAAACATACACAACAATGGCGGAGTATATGGTACTGTTGTTGCTGTTTAAGAGTTTGCTAACGCTTCTTCAGCAAAGTGTGGCTTTACTTCACCAATATTACAACCAACAGTGGAGACACATCATATACACACGGCAACAGGTACGGTTTACTAACAAGGTGACAGCGCCAACTACTGGCCTGGCATACGTAATACAGCGTTTTTGGCCGTTTTCGCCGATATGTGTAAACGCGAATTGTTTTGAAAACGTTGTCGTGTATGCGTGAAACTTTTTAAAAACGCAAGGGAAAAACTTTTCCATTTTTGACTACATCGTTGTCGTGTAAACGTAGCCCGAATCGTGCAGATATTTGAGAAGAAAAGCACTCTTGCTCATGTGACGTTGCTAAACTAAAACCCCATAAAACTACACTGATTTGGTTGAACCCCAACCACTCATATTGTGAAAAGAAATTAAAATCTATTTAATTGGTGGAATTTAGCTGTACTAAGAGTCTAGTGATCATTATTTGCCTCTCATAACCTTGATGTTTAAGCTTCTAATTTATGTACATAATCATGTTTTCCAAATCTCTTACAGGCAATCTCACTGTGATTAACTATATTATAAATGCCCTTGAAACATCTTTTTTTCTTTCTTTTTTTTTCAGGTATCTGTATCTTTTGTTCTCCGACGATGACCATTTGCCCTTCGAACATTGGGTGTTCAACACGGAGGCCCATCCTCTTCCCGTCATTAAGAAACAGAATGTAGAAATAGCAAACCATATCAAGTAATCTTCATCCAACCCCAAAGCGCCACTGAGACGTAATTTTCTGGACCTGCTTTAACAGTGGACAAGAGCTATGGACACAAAACCCCTGTGGCTGGAGAGTTCCTGTCCTCCAGGAATTTGCTGGAGCTTCATGTGTTTCTCCACAGCCTTCTCTCTTCTTCCATCTCTTCTCGGGATTCTGCATGCTGCCCCTGTTCCCTCTCTCTGTCCTTGATGCTGAGACCATATTTCCTCTGTGAGGAGACCGGACCAGATCGTTTTCCATCGTACTTGCCCTCTCACACACGTTATAAAGCCATAGGTAATTCAAATTGCATCGACGTCCTTGTGTTTTTTGCATCATGTGCGTTTACAGGAGCGAAGATAAGAGATATCCACTGAACTTCGCCGTATCTTGCTGTCCGTTTCTTTCGGGATGAGGTTTGGTTCGGTGTTTTGAGGCTTTATTCGACAGCAAGGTAGTGAAACCAAGTCAACTAGTGCCTTTTAGTCTTACTGATCATTTTAGTCAAGTTTTAATAGCAACACTCTATTTATTTTCGCTGTGACCGAAGGTATCTTCCTACTGGCCTACAGCCCTTACCCTCGTGATGGATGTAAGAATCAGTTGTTTATTGTTCATTCCTCTACATTTGTGAGCTTACTTTTTCATAAAATGTGTACAAAATGTGTTTTGATTGTTTACTTAATCAACGGAGGCAGAGACTTTTTATCCTAGACATGTAAAATAGAGTACTTTGTGTTAATTTATTACTCAAGACATAGGGTTTTTGTCTTTTTTCAGTGTGAGGGGCAGGAAACTATGGAGCCCCTAAAGGAGACATGATAATAGGAAAAAATATGATGAGAGGGATAAATTACATTTCAATGCTTTTGCGTTCCCTTGCAAAACTAATGCTTTTTCCCGAGAAGCTTTGTGTTCACTCACAAACACACTGAAATATAATTTTTCTTTCTATAACTTTTTTTTTTTATCAAAAAAAATTTGCACACAAATTCTGAATTTTTGTGAGTTATTGGAAATTTTTATTTTTTATTTTTTTGCTAAACTTTTGCGAGCAAACACAAAAGTGTCACGAGTAAATGCAAAAGTTCCTCTGTGAAATGCAAAAGTTTTTGTGAGCGAACGCAGTTTCTCTGTGGAACACAAAACGTTTTGAGCGCGAACACAGAAGTTTTACGAACAAGCGTAAAAGTTTCTCTGTGGAATACAAAAGCTTTTGTAAGTGAACACAAAAGTTTCACAAATGAGAGCAAAATTTTCTCTGTGGAACGCATACGTTTTATGAGTAGATGCAAAAGTTCCTATGTGGAATGCAGACGTTCTTGTGAGCAAAAGCAAAAGTTTCTCTGCGGAATGCAGGTTTGCGATCAAACACAAAAAATTCACGAGTGAATGCAAAAGTTTGTCTGTGGAACGAAAACGTTTTTTTGAGCGAACGTAAAGTTTCTTTGTGGTACGCAAAACTTTTTGTGAGCGAATGCAAAGGTTTTGCGAACAGGCACAAAACTTTTGCAAGCAAACACATTTTTCCGAGGGAATACAACGTTTTGTGAATTAACAAAGGTTTTGCGAGCAAACGTAAAGTTTCTTAAAGTAACAAACATTTTTGTGAGTGAACCCAAAAGTTTCTTGAGGGAATGCAAAGATTTTGTGAGAACACAGAAGCATTGAAATATAATTTTTCCTCCCATGTAATCACCATGTCCCTTTAGGAGCTCTGTTGTAAACCGCGATAAAGCTGCTTGAATCCATTGGAAAAGTGTTTTATTAGGACAACACCGGCAGCATCAGTCAAAAAGGGGAGTGAATATATTTGTATGAATGTACCACCAAATGTGAATTGAACATACTTTGGCCTAGTTGTTGTGATTTTATCGTTTTATCTCTTTGTTTATTTGTTCATTAGTTCGTCTGATTGATCATGAAAGCACAAAGTTGTGAATCAGTATATTTGGGTTCTCCATGAAGAAAAGAATAGGAATATTACTGTAGGACAACGTGACAGCACAAGTGAGGAATTTTGAAGAAAAAAAAGATGCAAAACAATGAATGCAAAGCAGTCCATGGCACTGGATACAACACACACACACACACACACACACAAAAGAATCACATGCACTACATTACATAGCCACATTCCAATTCATGGAGGAATGGACCAATTCCCATCTTAGTATGTTTTGGGAATTTGAGGTTTGTGGAGTAGGGCTGATGCTAGCGTCTACATTTAGACAGTGTTCCCAAAACTACTCAAAACTAAACCACCCTGCTTAACTAGCACGGTGTGGCGCTTTAACCTGTGTATTATACTAGTGGATCTACGTGGAAATAAATACCTCGCAGAGATTCCTCTCTTGAGGCCAGAGACTGCAACACTTGGTATTTCTCCGCTGTATGTGTGCTAACGAACAGCGTACTGTCAGAGTTAGGAGCCGCAATAAATGAAAGTACCGTCATCTCGAGGGAGGCCCGTCATAAAACACTGTGACACTGTAGATAAGACATCACGCTCACTGTATTCATGATACTGTGAATCTAAACGATGTTTAGCACTGCCGCGGCTTAGCGCGGACTAGCGATTTGTGCTGTCTCTCTTTAGTGAAAGTGATTCCTCAAGCTGTGACTGAGGATCCGCAGCGACTCTTAGGTGACATTTGGGAACAGACGTTTCCTCGCATCTGCTTGCGATACGCAGAATAGGAGATGTGCTTTTCGGATTAAGAATTTGTTGTTTAAATATTGTGTTGATGATCTTGCATAGAAAATGCCTTTTTTGTTTGTGATTCTTGTCATTTATTTCTTCATGAGACAACCTCAGAAATGTAACTGTACAATATTGCTGATAATCATTCCATTGCACATAGTCCGATTTGTTTCTGTTTTTTTCTTTAATATATATGCAATTAATTTTGTGGGAAAGTGTTTGGTTTTATTATTTTTTTCTTTAATTTGTTTTTTAATTGTACATATCTCATTCTGGCAAACTGCCAGCCATCATTTATATAAATCTTATGATCTTATGTAATAAATTATATTAAAGAACTGCAAAGGTTTTTGATAAACTATATTTGTTACACCTAAATTGTGAATAAAACAATCTTTTAATATAATATTGAGTTGTTGTTGTTGTTGTTGTTTGTTTTAAATGGCGATTTTTTTAAATTCAAATTTATCATCAGATTATACATTTTACAGTAAATCATTCATGCTTGGAGGCGGATCGGACTCATACAAGGCTGACACTGCAAGAGAATAAACAACTGATTTTTTTTTTTTTTTTTTTGTGACAGCCATAAAGATGCATCCAACAAGTCATTATCTATCTATCCATCTATCTTAGCTATCTATCTATCTATCGTCTGTCTGTAGTACTATTGTTCTGTATCATTCTATCTATCATACTTTTATCGGCAGTCTGTCCTGTCGTTTTGTCTGTGCCGTTCTATCATTCTATCTATTGTTATTTCTGTCATTCTGTCTATTTGTAGCTCTATCATTCTATCGGTCGTTCTGTCCTGTTCTATCTTTCATTCTATCATAGTGTTCTACCTATTGTTCAATCTGTCTATCGTTCTACCATTCTGTATGTCATTCTCTAGCATTTTTCTTTGCCTATTTTGCACTCCATGTATAGTTCTATCATTCAATCTATCATTCTACTGTCTATCGTTCTGTCATTCTACCATTCTGTATATCATTCTATCAATATTTTTTTCTATCTTTCGGTCTAACACTATAGTTCTATCATTCTTCTATATGTTGTTCATTCTGCATTCATTCTGTCTATCATATCGTTCTATCGTTCATTCTGTCTGTTGTTCTGTTTTGATTTATCGTTCTGTCTCTATTTTCCGTTCTATTGTTCTGTCTATCATTCTATTTTTTTTCTATCATTCTGTCTGTCGTTCTGTCTATTGTATGTCTATGGTTTAATTTATCTATCATACTATCCTTAAAGGGGTCATATGATGTTGCTAAAAAGAACATTATTTTGTGTATTTGGTCCATGTCTGCATTTGTGATCGGAGAAATGACAAACAACAAGTGCTACTCTACACTGCCCAAAAAACTTGCGTTTGAATCATTAGTGGCAAATTCTTTAAATATGAAAAACTTACTTACAGCCTGTGAGTCAGAACAGCCGGCATTGTAGTCTACTCTACCAGGATCAGGAAACAGTCCTCCATAAAATGTGCTGCACACATCTGAATATTTGGGTTGAACTGTTCTGGAACAGTGTTGTAAATACAACTTAACCACTGATTTCTAGTCGTGTCCTCTTTTGGAAGACCAAACAAAGTAGTTTCACTTTCACAACGAAAAAGCGTCACACACCGCAGCCTTGAGTGAGCAGCGGCCTAGAATATGCGGAGGCCGGCTTGAGTGAGCAGAGGCGGTGGGCTTGAGAACGGTGCGGCCGGTGGATTCGACGAAGGAGCGTCCGGCGGGCTTGCAGCAACCACATGTGACGACCCCGGGCTGGACTCCGCTTTGTCCACGGTGAAAGCCGATCC